TCTGATGAAACTGTGGGTGGAGGTGGTCTCGTGGGAGTTGGTAGGATCTCCCCGGCTTTAGCCGCCCTGTCCTTGCCCACTGCCCAGAGGATCTGGTTGGCTGGGAGACAGGGATGGGTAGTGCTGGAGGGATGTTGGCCCCCCTCTGCTCAGACCTCCTGCCCTTTCCTTCAGAGGTGCTTCCAGACCACCAATGGCTACCTGTCCAACTCCAGGTCCTGCTCCAGCAACTACAACGTGGCAGCCCTGGCCACCTCATCCCTTGTGGGTAGGTTCCGGCTGCCCCTCTCCCGCCCGTGGAGACCGCACGGTCCCACCCTAGACACTGGCAGTGGGAAGGACACAGCTGAGTTGCAGGTGGGAGGATGGCAACCTTGTTGGATTCTCCGTTTTCTAAATGCCAGACTCCATGCTGGGTTCTGCGGGTCACAGGGGGACCGGTGGCTCAGGGTTCTGCTTTGCTGCAGGTCAGCATGGTCTGGTTAAACTGCTGGGATCTCAAGAAGCTCTGAGGGGGTTGGCCAGAGTTTTTCAGAGGTCTGCCTAGGGTGCTCTCCCTGCCTCTCTGCCAGTCACATCACCTTAGGTCAGGTTCCCTGGAAGCAGAGCCTGGCATGGGCATGACTACAGGTGATTCCCTGGAGACTGGCCTTCAAGAGAAGCCAGCAGGCATTGGGGGAAGCAGAGGGGGTGGGGAAGGGGCTCAGCAGGAGTCTAGCCCTGCCCACAGGGTCTCACGGGGAGCTTGGGAGCATGCATGACACCCCAGAATTGACAGTATGCCAAGGGGAGGGGTCGGACTTTATATTCCCCCATAGTGACTCACTGACTGCCCCGGGGAAGACTCTGCAGCCTCCTAGGCATCTCCGGGTGAGGAGGCTCCCGGGAGCTCAGGGCATTTCTCCAGATAAGGGTGTGAGCTCACAGCAGCAGCACCTGAAGCAGCTGGCCATGGGCTCCCAGGCTAGTAGAGGTGGTTTTGGTGGCTACCATGGCATCAGGTGGCCCGGCACTAAATCCCACCCAGCTCCCCTGGAACCCCTGAGGCCCTCCTTCCCCGATTGTCATGTGCCTTTCCTCCAGCCAAGGACCTTCCTCCACCTCACCTGCCCTTCAAGGGCCACTTGAACCCCAACCGCCTCCAAAACACCCTCTCCAACTGCCAACACTCCCCAGCTTGGTGGGAGGGAGAGTCTCCTCTTTTCTCCACACCCCCGTCTTTCCCGTTTTCCCCGCTGTAATTACCTTCGTGCATACTTCTGCCTCCTTAAATGTCGCCATTCCTCGCACCATGGCTTCGGGGACCTGGGTGACTCCCAGATCTGTTCTCAGCCTTGGTTAATGGCCGTGCCCTCTTCATCTTCTACATCCAGCAGCTCTGCTACTAAAGCCCTGACCCCGCCTCTCCGTCTGCCCAGCCCTCGCCTCGTTTCTTGTCGGGTCCCTGCGGTAGCCCCTCATCCTCCAACTGGAGTACTTTCTAAACAGGAGTGCCAACTGGTCACTCATGCTCATTACCCTGCTGTGGCTCCCCACTGCATGAGAAGAACATCTGAGCCCCCCACCTGGTTCTCTCCAAACCTGTCCTGGCCCTGATCAGCTCCCAACCTCTCCTGCCGCCCAGTCCGAGTGTGGACCCCATGTCTCACCCAGCTAGTCCCAGACTCACGCCAGACTCTTCCATGCCTTCATCCTCTTCTCATCTCTGAAAAAGCCTCCCATCTTGCCTCTGTCTGTCTATACCCAACCCAACTTCAAATTCCAATCCCAGGTCTCCTCTTCCAGGAAGCCTTCTCTGCTTGCTACACCCACCCAGGTCTCACCTTCAGCAGAGCTGGCATGGCCACAGGGAATTTCTTTCAGAATGTGTTTAAAGGATCCTGGAGAAAGCTGGGGGATCATGAGTGGTCCTTGGGTGGATCTCCTTGGGCGGAAGGGTCTGAACTTGGTCAGAAAGGGAGTGAGAGGTGTGTGGTTGGGGAAGAAGCACCAGTGGGCAGGAACATGGACTGGGAGTTGGATGCTGGGGGGAAATGCACACGCCGGTGGGTGGGGCATGCAGGGGAGGTCTCAGGGCAGGAGTGGGCAGGAGGCACTGGAGGGCGCAAGTACTTAGATGGGTACAGGTCCCTGGGGAGGTGTTGGGCACTGATGGAGATTGTGGTGCACTGAAAGAATGTCGGGTACAGGCCCCTGGGTGGGCTGAGGCACGGGGCCAGGCTCTGAGCTGGGGCTTGTGTCAGGACAGTCACCCAGATGCCCTCCGTGCCCCCAGGGGTGGTACAGAGCATCAAGGACCACATCACAAAGCCCACGGCCATGGCCCGAGGCCGCGTGGCCCACCTCATCGAGTGGAAGGGCTGGAGTGCCCATCGGGCAGGCTGGGAGCTGTCCCCAGCCGAGGACGAGCATTACTGCTGCCTCCCGGATGAGCTGCGTGAGGCCCGCTTTGCTGCAGGTCAGCATGGAGAGGGACTGGCCGGGGCGCTGTGGGGGTGAAGCTGGGCCCTTGGGGGGCCCAGACCACTGCATGGGAATTGTCTGGGCAGGAAAAAATAATGGCATGGGGGGGGATTCAGTGAGCACTTCCGACCACTGGGGTGTGGATGGGCAGCCCAGAGAGGCAGCCACCCTCTAGCCTGTCCTGCAGCAGCTCCATTGGGCACTGAGGTTGTCCCCACCTGTGCCCCCGAGCCAGATCTCGCTGTCCCCTCAGGGGTTGCCGAGCAGTTTGCCATCACGGAGGCCACACTGAGCGCTTGGTCCTCGCTGGACGACGAGGAGCTGCACCCCAAGGACAGCCCCCAGGACATCAGCCAGCTCCAGGGTACAGCCCAGGGGGTCCAGGGTGGGTGGGCAGAGTGGAGCTGAGCCTGGATGCCTGCCCACCAGCAAATGCAGTGTGACCTCAGCCGAGCCCCTTCCTTTTCTCAGCCTAAGTTTTTGCATCTGCAAAATGGGGCAGTGATCCTTGGCCTGCCCATTGCCCGGCAGCGTCAGGAGCGTGACGGAGAGAATGAGCACAGCAGAGGCAGGAATTGGGCGCTTGCCACACTGAGGCTGGGCACGAGGCATCTCACAGAATCCTCACAGCAGTCCTAGGGAGTGGGTTCTGTTGTCCCCACTTTTCTAATTAATGAGGAAACTGAGGCACTCAGGTTCAGAAACTTACTCCAAATGACACAGCTAGAAGCGTCAGAGACAGATCTGAAATTTAACAATTTAAAAAGGCGGGTACAAGCAACTGCCTTTTTAGAAGCCCAAGTTACTACTGAGGGCTTCCAGAAGCCTTGGCCCTGGGGGAAGCCTGCACGTAATCCTCCCTGACAGATGGAGAGGGAAGGGGAGGGGACAGAGGTTCAGGGGGAGCCCTGTTGCCCCAGCTCTCAGAGAGCACAGGCTGGCTCCAAGCCCACTCTTAACCCCTCCGTTTACTGCCTTGAGGAGGAACCTGGAACTCAGAGAGTTTTGGTGACTTGACAAAGGTCACACGCTCGGCAGTTACACAGTGAGATTTGGAGGCAGGTCTTCTGCCCTTGCCCTCCTTCCCACACCCAGAGAGGGCGAGGACCTGGATCTGGGACGCCATTCCTCCCTCACCCGGTTGCTTTTGCAGACCTGGAGAGCGGCTACCTTCAGGACAGCCTTCCCAGCGGCCCCTGGCAGGACGACAGCATTCAGGCCTTCTCCTCACCCAGCCTCTCCCCTGACAGCTGTCCCTCACCTGAGGCACCCCCCAGCACTGCTGCTGTCCTGCAGCCCCCAAGCCCAGAGCTGCAGCATCGGCGGCGGCTGCCTGGGACCCAAAGACCCAAGGGTGGGACCCACCTGCCAGGCTCCCTCCCCTCCGTGGACAGCGGCTCCCTCTGGGAGGAGGAGGACGAGGTGCTCTGTAACTGAGGAGGGGCTGTGCTCACACCACCATCTCACCTCGTGGGCAGCCCAGGCATATCTGGACCCCGGGGTCCAGGGAAGGGCATCTCTTGTCCCCTCGGGTAGGCACAGGGTCGGTGCAGCAGGGATGGGGCCAGCGCTCATGGTAGCCTCTCTGTGCCTCGGTGGACCTGCCGCTGGCAGTAGGAGCATAACCCCCTCCCCCTTCATTATGTCACTCAGGTGGGCACCTTCCCCTGCAGGGTGTCTGCCCTCAGGGAACTCAAGGACTCTCAGAAACACCAGGGCAGACCGGCCTGGAGGAGCCACAGCCAGGCCCCAGAGGGACAGCCAGGGAGAGAACTGGGACCCACTTAGAGCGGGGTCTGGGAACCCTGCCTGTACCTGGGGCTCAGGCCCTCCCCACTCCCTCTGTGTATCTGCCCCCCAGCAAAGGTGGGGTGACCACTTCTGGTAGCTAAGCACCCGCTCCCCAGCTCTCCTCACCAGGACATCTGTCTCTGTGGAGTGTCTGTCTGTCTGTCCCTCCCTCTCTGAACCTGCGTCCTCGGTGCTCCCTGCTCCTTGCCCCAGGGAGCCCACTCCCCCTCCTTGCAGCTCCCTCCTATCTCACTCAAGGTTCTCCGAAGACATTAAAGTGGTGGATTCACCTTGGATGACCTTGGCCTGGTCTCTGCTGGGGAAGATGTGACCTCGGGCCCCTGGGTGGAGACCAGAGGGAGTCAGGGAGACCCCATAACCCCAACACACACAGACTGCTGCTACTCAGCCTGAGAGGACCCATGGACGATGCCCAAGGCTCTGTGGACTCCCCAAGAAGCCACACTTGGGGACCCAGCCTTATGAGCTGTGGCTCAGCCAAGCAGGAGACCAGGGCTTGAGTGACACAGGGTCTTGCTTATTCATGAGGACAAGCATCACAGACCTGGTGGGAGCCCCTCTTTCCCTGACATCTACCTGGCAAGAAGTGGAGCATGAGGAGGAGCCCAGGGACCCGAGCCTGCAGTGCCCATGTGGCCATGGGAAACTCATTCTGGACCAGTGCAGGTGGGGAGGTCATGTCCCAGGCCAGCACCCTTGCAGCTGAGACGAGGGATGGACAGCAGCTCTGGGAACCAGCTTTATTTTTCTCAGGAGCCTCTCACTGGGAATCAGACAACCCCAGAGAGCATCTGTGCCTGCCCTTGGTGACAGCATACCCCAACCTTGTCATTCATTAATGTGATGGTCAGTCACTGAGCACCTGCCAGATACTGGTCTTCAGCATCTCACGCTCTGAGCTCTGTCCAAGGTGGGACTTGGCTTTCAATCAGGAGCCATCGTTTCTCCCAGAATGAGCCATCCTCTTCTGGGCTGGGTTACAGCTGCCTCTTATGCCAAGGAATGGAGTTGGGCTGGAGGGAGGGATGGGTGGTGATGGGGGAAGAGAGGCGGGGTCTCAGCCCAACCTCAGCACCAGGGCAGCTGGGGTGCCCTGCTTCATCTTGCTGGGCCGGCTCACTATGGGGCTGGTGGGTTTGTCAGGTTGGAAATTGCTTTCTTCATCTAGAACAGAGAAAGGGGGTGGGGGTTGGGGGGATGTAGAGGAGGTTGAGAGGGGGGCTGCAGCATTTTTAGTTCCCCTAAGGGTTATTTCTGGGCTGAATAGCAGAGCCTGTGCCACCCCATTGCACAGATGGGATCACCAAGGCCCAGAGAGGGGCAGGCTGGCCACTGGCCAGAAAACAAGGTAGGGAGAGCCAGGCCCAGTGGCCAACCTAGGCCAGGAAGAGGGGCTCATCAGTATCCTCTGAACCCCCCAGGTTTGGATGGGAGCATGCTGGTGTCCCCCCACCTCCCCAGCCTTCTCAGCATGGGTCCCCTGCTTTGCTCTGCCCTGGAGACCCTGGTACCTCTACCCAGGACACGCAGCCCACAGCTCTGCCCCGCGATGTCACGAAGAGGGACTGAAGGTTCAACAGCTCAAAGAGGTTGTGTGCCTGGAGGAGGGATTGTTAGGAAATGCTGGAGGGTAGAAGGCGTCCAGTCCACCTTCTGGCCACCTTCAGGCCCACGCCTCTGAGCCAGGAGGAGGGGCCGGGCCTGATGTGGGTGGGAGACCGGAGACTCAGGTCTGCAATGTCCAGTGTGGCCACTGGGGGATGCCAGAGTCCATGCAAGAGGCTGGGTGGGCAGCAGGTGGACAGGACCCAATATTCAGCACCCTCCAGCAGCACAGAGGGGGCAGCGCCATCTCCAGGTCCCCTGCCGGC